ATAATTCCACTTTAAGTTGAGCATTCTCAACACCAAATGAACCTATCTCCACCTCCTCACTAGCACAAACGTTTACTTTAGCACGGGTTGCTTTTTTAGCTGCTAGCTATTTGGACACCAGGGCCAGACGCACTTTTATAGTCTTTACCGTGCAGCTCACACAGTCAGTAAATGTTCCATGAATTATATGACCTCGGCTTAAAGGTGATTTTAATTATACGAAATTAATTTGGATTAACATTTGATAGCTGGTCACAAAACCAACAACACTCGGAGCACGCGTCCATATGCTTTTAGCGTCGATGGCTATTAGTGTGTACACAAGCAAGGCGCGAGGCCATTTACGAAATGGGTGCCGGCACTTAACTGTTATTCGCTAATGTGAGCATGTTAGTGAGCTGATGCTATAAACTTGGCAGAGATAAATGACCGTGCAGCTCACAGTCACATATTAACCATTTGAACTCTGCTGAGCCACTATAAGTTTTGGTAGCTGGATCTTCCTTCCAAACAGTTTGTTCGGTGCTCATATGTGAGTGTAATGGTGAATTGTTGTGGTTAGTGGCGAGTAATTCATTGTCGATCCTCCAGTTGTTGATGAGCGTAAATAATTATAGGTAACAGTATGGAAATGTTTTTGAAAGGTAAATAGGAACGAAAGCTTTAATGGCTGGAAATATAATTAAAGCGGCTACTTAACTCCTTGGTACTTTTTGTAATGGAATCTTGACCGTACTCTCGTTAGAGGGAGAACTAAAAGGCTTTTAACGGAAATTGTAAACTCTACAGGCAGACTCAAAACTAAGATGCCTCATCTGGTTTGGTGTGCCTATATGAACTTTGGCACTAAGTATCGAAAGTCCTTTTTTCGCTCAGAACTTTTTCCAGGAGTGCAATTGACCAAAAAATTTTGTCTACGGAGTCCAAGTTAGCAGCTAGACCAATTATTTCTACAGAACCACCTTACAAATTAGCCGTCGAAAATTGAGTCGAAATCCGTCAGACAACGGTGATCTTAAAACAATATCTTTTGAGAACTTCATAGACAGTTGTTGCACCAGCCTTGATAGGACTCTCAGGCTGAGTGCGACACTTAAAGCTGCTTTGAGAACGTTCAAAAGAGAATCATTCTAGCTAGTAGAAAATACTTTAAAATTTAGATTCACAATTGTCACTTTAAATATTCCGTAATCCAAATCGTATACGCGTACCCTTCAGCTCATCGAGTGCGACGACATTCATCGTCAGCCGCATTGTCACAGTTAAGCGACAACGAATAATTTCCGAGCGCTGCACACTTAGTTTGGAGACGAAAATTATTCCATTCAATTTTAATTCGTTAACGAAGTTTTCAACAGCGCAACAACAACACCAACAAGTGCCCAGGCAGCAAGAAAAACAATGGCATTTTTAGTAAAATGAAAACAAAACTACAACAACAAAGCGCACATAAAACATAACAACGTTAACGAAACAAAAGCGCCGAGGCAGCAGACTGAGCAACAAAGCAGCCTACTCTCGCTGCAGCGCTAGCAGTTCGCTGTACGTTTGGTTGGCAACGCTACGTTGGCAGCATTCGCTGTTTCCTGCCGGTTGAGCGCGTGTGTATGCGGCATGAGTGCATAAAATATGGACGCGCAAATTTTATTTAACAACAACAACAAAAAAAGCTGCAATAAACAAAAATAAGCGAAAAAATGTGACGAAACTTGGCAGCGCGTAAAAGTCAGGGTTGCCGCGTCGTGCGGTGAAGCTGAAAATTCGAGCAATCGCAAAAAAGGATGAAGCGTTGCAAGGTTAGCTTTGGCTGGCTGGTGTGTGTTTTTGTGGTGCTTGTGAGTGATGGTGGCAGCAATTGTTGTCACAAAAATTAAAATGCAAATTAGCCAGAGTTGCTAAATATTGGCATGTTGCTAATGAAGTTGTTCCTACCGCTGTTGCCGTCGCTGTCGTTGCAGTGGGGCGTGTGGCGGGTAGGAACACAAAAGGAACAAAAGGACTTTGAAGGAATGTTGCTTTCCGTTCAAGCTGTTCAGGCGCGTGTTTCCGCTGAAAAGTTGCCATGTCGCAGTCAGTTAGGTTTAATCGAGTGAGGCGCAGTTTTTGTTGTGTCGCATTTTTTCTGCAGGCAAACTTTGCAAAAAATATATTTTTTATTTACAAATTAAGTAAAAAGCCGCATTTGTAACTTAAGGCAGCATTTGTAATCATGGCTTTGCTTTACTATTTTTTTTAAATATTTTAACTTCGGAAAATACAATGTGTAAAATCGGTCTAATTGGTTGAAGCTTAAATTATTATTACTTAAAAACTATCACGCTACCGCAAGATTTCTTTCCCAGAATTTGGCTAAAACGAAAAATTTACTCCGTTGATGGCTCTAGAAATTAATACAAGTTTAAAATATGTTTTCAGCTTTAAATTGTGAGAATTTTTAAAGTAAGTGCCGGTATATTCAGGGCTCCAGTAACTTTAAGTTAACTTTGGATTTTTCGATTTCTCAGTTTTATGTGATAATATATCCTGAACCCAACACACATGAAATATGAACTAGATATTATATGCACGCTCTTTGTAAGAGACATCTTCATCTTCATAGTTTATTGAGGTGATCATAAGTAAGTCATTGGTATTTATCTCTAAAACTGGGCTTGAGGGTTGCGTATTTGAACTTGGAACTCATAGGTAACTAAGCACTGTAGTCGCCCATTTTCAATTCCTTAGTTTTTTCCGCAATTTAAAGAAAATCGCTTTGAGCAGAATTTCTATGAAGCAGTCGCTAAGTTTTCATACACTGAATTTTGGTTTCTCCTGGCACATTGCCTCACTTATTATGTGTCTCGCTTGGACTCAAATCTCATACAGAACAAATTTTTAGAAGAAATTTAGTTGTAGTTCGCTTACAGTCATATCAGACGTCCAATAGAAAATTTTTTTTGGAACAAATTACACCTTTGAAAGCAGCTATAGCCTCGTGCCTCACCGTATATAAACAAAGCACTATTGAGAGTAGCATCAACAACAGAAATATCATCATATTCTCTCTCCACCACTTAAATGTAATATTGTTCTTAAAACGCTACACTTTCTCTTAAATATATTTTGATAACATAATAAATTGTGACATTTGCCATTAAATCATTAAAATATATGTTTGCCATACAAAATAAGTATACAAAAACTAATCTCAAAGCGTCTTCGCCACAAGCGAGTTTCATATTTCAGTTTATGTGGCAAAATTTAATGAGTGCTACGGGTTGTGGCCCTTAACCGCTTTACGGCTCCACATTTTCGCACACATACACACACACCCTGAAACTGCAACTTACACGCGTTAATAAAATGCAAATTTTGTTTGAGGCGAGGGCAAATTTTCTACACATACTTACTATATATAAGGTTACATTTGCTAGAGAAGGTCTCTTGAATTTCGGCTTACTACCGAAAAGTACATAAATTGTTTCAATGAATTCCTCTTTTTGTGGCTTTTGCAGTTGCTTAGACACTCAGCGCTTCCTGCAAAATATTTCAACTCGATGGCAGATTAAGTTCGGTTGAAGTGCTAATCATATTTTTATGGGAAATTTTATGAGTTGTTTTGTATAAATTAAGTGTTTTAATGGGTGATTGCGGGAGGCGGTCGCGCACTTTGGTGTGCTATGAAAATATAATTTACATTCAATTTAATACCTCATATTTGATATATTTTTGGGCACTTAAAACTGTTGAGTCGCTTGAATTCGCTTGGAACTGTGAAGCTCTTTAAAGCGCTTCGAAAGTGATAGTGATTTGAGTTGGTGAAACTTTGACAAGAGATATCGTGCAAATTTTTCCAGAAATAATTATAATTAAAAGAGAGAACATTAGTCACATTAATCAGTTAGTGAGCAGAAAAAATTTTTTTTAATAACTGAAAAATTAGTCTCGCAAGCTTTTAAGTTCGACGGAATATGTATTTTTTGAAGAAAGTTTGAGAGTACGGACTCAGTGCTCATTTGACAGGTCATTGGTTAGCATTTTACACGAGACTGGAGGTTATATTAAATTCTTTTAGAGCCTCGTATTTCATCCATTAATCCATTGCACGCTTGAAAAGCTCTTCAAACTTTTTAGTTAAGCTTAAAATTCAGTGTACTATGCACACTAGAACTAGAGCTATAACTTCGCACAAATATACTGCAGAGTATTGCAACCGGTTGTTGCAAGTGATACTAGATAAATATAGTTTCCACTTTTTTGCCAACAGATCTGTGGTTGGGTTTTCTATAAAGAACATAGATTATATAGTCTGAACGCTATTAGGAAAAGCTCACCAGATGGTAATCTCGGCTGAGCTCGGCTAGAGATGTATACTTTTAAAATCAAAAAATTTCAGGATATAGAAGAGTGCAGGGCAAGAAACATTATGCCTCTAGGCACTTAAGAACGACTTAGCTGTAAAAGAACGAACGCTGGTTTCCGAAAAGAAGGAACTCAACGGACATTCGAAGTATTTCGCACTCAGCTATCAATTCTGCTTCACCAATCAGCTTTGCAATAGCGAGAGATAACATTAGGAACTTTTTGAGCGCAGTCCGATGAAAGTAAAAGCTTTACAGCGATTGTAGGTTTCATGTGAATTATCATAGTTATAATACAGTGATCAGTAAAGCCGACTTAAGCCTGGGGAACTGTTTTAAGAATTGAAAAGAGTTTTTATGGAGGCGAACGGAGCTTAGTTTATAAAATTTATGAAACTTTTGCTTTAAGAATGATCTTTCCAAGCTTTTATTTTCTGTAAAACCATATTTCATTATCATTCATTCATATTCAGCTAAAATTATTGGTACAACCTCAAGCGAAATAGAGTATTATGTTAGGATGTCTATTTTCAGATTTATTTTTGTTCTTCACAGTGAAAGTAGAAGAGTAAATTTTATGGCTGATTTATTTTTTAAGCTTTTGTGTTCAAACAATCACTTGACATTAAATAAGTAAATGTTTTTCCTCTCTTTTTGCAGGCATTAAGGATCCCAATTTGGAGCGGCATACAAAAGGTAGGCACAATATTTTTACTTCACAACTTCAATATATTTTGTTTCTCCGGCAAACTTGTGGCTTGCTAATTTTAGTAAATTCATAAAAACGTATTAAAACTAATAAAATCAGAAGTTGAAAACCGAAAATTAATTAAAAAGCCACTTCAAACGCTTGAGTGGAGCACAAGAGCGGCAAAGTGAAGTACAGAGAAAAAAAAAAGAAACATGAAATAAGTGTGGGTTGTGTGAGAATTTAAGCATATGAAGCGAAGGTAAAAGTGAAAGTGCTGTTAAGGCAAAGAAATGGTAAGGGGTGGTGTAGGAAATATAAGAGGTAGCCAAATTAGATAGAGAAACCAAAGAGCTGCTATAATAAAATGGATAATGCATGCTTGATGCACAGTAGCAGTGGGAAGAGTGGGTTACGTATGGGCTAAAAATATTTCTAAGCACAATACAATAGTGTGTGTGTGTATGCGTATATTGAACAAAGCTTGTATTGTCAGACAACAAAGCAAGCCACAATAACTATAAATTCCCAGAGCGTCGAGTTAGTGGCTTACTTACCAAAAAGGCCACTAAATACAAAGTAACCAGTGAAAGGGGTTTTTCGCAAACACACGCACACACATACACATACACACAGGCATGCATGTGATTACATGTTGCGTAGCGTTTTAAATGCAATCAAGCTAAAAATTAATTAAATTTGCCTTTGGAAAATACGCCAAGCGTTCAATAGTGTGAGGGCGACGGTTAACCCAAACGTGTGTGTGTGTGAGCTCCACAAGAAGTGGCAGCAACGACGGACGTTTGTGAAATTAATTCGAACGTGCAAAATTAAATTGAAACATTTAAAACAAGAAAATGCGTACATAAACGACTCGAACGACATAAACGCTGTAAGTATCCTTGCCAACAACGACCGCCACTTGGCAGGATATGCTCGCATGGGCTTAACCCTTTCACGGGCAAACACAAACACACATTATGCCACAGAGTGGCAGTATTGTTGTGCTGTTCGGTGTTTGGGGGGTGTGCGTGCAGCAAAGAAATTGTTAAACGAATTTTATTGGTACGACACCTCAACTCCTTCCACTACACCACCACGTACACCTTAAATCGAGTACGCTCGCATTTATGCCCTCTTAATAACCTGATAAAGTGATACTTGAAGACAGACAGACAGACAAGTCAAGCAATTTTGCGTGCTTGGGTAGGGGTGTGAGAGATTTAATTTTTGAACAACCGTGAAAATACCAAGAAGTTGGTGGGAGTTATGCGTTGTGTGGATGCAGTTGTAATGAGCGCACAATGAGTGTTTAGAAAGGGAATAGAGCACTGAAGTTATTACGAAAGGCACGCATTGAAAATAAAATTTTACGGTTTAATCTTATTGCTATAAAAAAAATTTATGAGCCAATATTAGCCAAATTTTATATAAGAAAAAATGCTTCTCGAGGCACTTTAAAGAATGCGCCTAAAGTTAGGCTATATTTCTTTAAATGTGCATAAAACTCAGTACTCATAGACCAAGAAATTAAAAAAAAAAAGTAAAGCCTCTTCTGTATTGCCAGATTTTGGAGTAATGACATTGGCGCCTAGAGATAGGCTAAATATATTTTTCATAAATTTTTTATTTATTCGATATTTTCGAACTGAATTGGTCCTTTAATTACTTATACCATAAGTATAGTCCGCTATACAGATCTCTACAAGTAAACCGTGCCTTGGTTGCTATGAATTTCGTCGAGCTTCTAGTAGAACTATAAAGTATGCTCCTAAGGTTAGACTATATCGTCTTAATTGCGCATAAAAGTCATTATTGACAAATTAAGAAAGTCAAAAGAAAGGAAAATACTCTTCTCTATTGCCAGATATTTTTAATTAGTTAAAATAGCGCTTAGGCATGGACTAAATATTTTTATAAATATCATAAAATTCTAAAGATATTAACAATTTGAAACTCAACCTTAATTACTTATACTAGAACTACAGTTCTGTATACAGAACCTTTCCATGCCCAAAATTGTATATTTCGCCAAACTTTTATTTTCTAAAGTTCTTGTAATTACAATCACATATTTATATACCAAAAAATTAAATTTTCCTATCCTATCTCAAGTTTGGAAATCTCTTTTAGACTGTAAAGTTTGATGGTTTGACAAAAAATTTTAAAATAAAATTTTTAATGAAGTTCTAATAGTAAATTTCTGAAAACATAAAATAATAACCCAAAGCGAGGGAAAAATTATGATATGACAAAGAAAACCTTAAAAACTTCAATAAAGTCCACTTTACCGACTAGAACAGCATTTTTAAGCAATGTGCTCAGAATATTTTATACCATAAAATTGTATGACATGCCATTAAAATTCATAAATGCTCTGCATAACCTTAAATTTATGTATTTTGAAGCTATGTTTACGAAAATTTCATGAGATAGTTTTCATGTTATGGCATTAAAATTTATATAAAGCTCTGGTTAACTTCACAATTTATTGAACTTATCAAATATAGCTTAAATAGTTCAAAAAATATTAAAACCTTTGCATAATAGCCAATATGTATAACCATTTCAAGCAATGTATTCAAAATTTGTCATGCCATAAATTTCTATCGTATGCCATAAAAACTTCTTAAAGTTAACTGGCTACTTAAAAATTTCATAATATAATTATTTTATTTTGAAAATATGTTGTTATATTTTTTAAATCATATAATTTATTACAATACTGTTATTGTATGCTATGTCATAACATCAATGTAGATAAAACTACAGAAAAATATGAAAATTTATATTGAATGATTTTAATCGAAGGGTAAACTCTTTTCAGGCAGTATATTCAAACTATGTCATGCCATACATTTTTATGTCATAACATAAATTTTTATGGTACGCCATTAAATTTTTTGAAGTTCTTAGAAAACGTTAAATTTTGCTGAAAAACAAAATATTTTACAATAGAACTCATTAGATCCGAATAGTATCGATTTCTATGCGTCAACATGCTCGTACCCGTATTATGTAAGCCAATAAAACTCAATACCTCTAAATGCGCTGAGATAACCAATAAATCAAAGCCAAGAATGCACTTGAAGTAAAGAAAACATCGACTAAATTAGGCAATAAATAGTTGGCGGAAAAAAGCCAAAGCAAATATAGACAAACAAAGTTCAAACAAATAAAAGCTGCAGCCAGCCAGCTTGCTGCCACGATGCGCCGCAACGAGAAGCGCACACCTACATGCAAACTTAAACGTGGTGCTTTAAGAAAACTTCAAAATTGCAACGATTGCAAAATGCTAGAAAACTATTTTGTTGCCAAAACGAAAAGAAACTGAGAAACAGAAAACAGCACTTGAGAATTCATTGTTTGTTTAACGGCGAAGCGCCACACAAAATGCATACAAATATCAAGAAAAAGGGGAGCTGGAGCGAGAAGCCTGCAACGGCGCTGAGAAGAGCCTCTATGTAGCAGCGAATCTGGCAGGCAAAATCAAATAGACGCCGCAACCGCAGGCGGCGACTTGAGTGCTGAAATCTTTGTTTATACATTATATATGTATGTGAGTACATAAGCGCAATATATTGGCATATATATTATATGAAATTGCATTAAACATAAGTGACTGTATGTGTGTGTGCTTGGGCTTTCATTGCAGTGCAGCCTCCGCCGACAGCTTGCCACACAAAAGCGAGCAATGCGAAAACTTCGACTACGCTTGCCTCATCTTTATACCACCGCCTCCACTCCCACGTCGGCAACGCTATTTGTTTGCTAAGTTAAAGTAAAACCAAAGGAATTCAACTAATAAAAATCATCCACTCAAGTGCGAAAAAATCGCGAAAGCATCATCAAATAATACTAACGGTACACACAACCACCCAACGCCGCCGCAACGACAGCAGCCGCCACTGCTCAACGTTTGCGGTTGCTAGCGTCTTTTAGGCGAATTTCAGTTACAAAGACAAATAGAAAACCGAAAAACTTTTGTAATGTGAAAATCAAAATGTGCTGGCGCTGGAGAGTGGTGGGGGTAAAGCTTTTGTAGCAAGCATGTGGCAAGAGCGGCGACCGGCATACACGCATATATATGTATATACTAAAAGTACTAGATATGTGTCTGTGTATAAATAAAAGTGTGTGGCACTTCGATTATGGACCGACAAAATAATGACGCAGCCATTGAGACTGGTTGCCCGCGCTCGAACGCAGACGCTTTAGCGCTTACGCTTACCAATATCCTGCCGATTTGTGGTACTTGCCACACATACTCGGCCGCACAACTTGTCCACAGCCACATAACTAAACTGTCGCTTTTCTTTTATTTTTTCGTTTATTTCGCCCGCATTCGTTGCTTGCCTTCGTGCTGTAGCGCACTCGTGCTTGCAACACATGCACGCGCTGCGCTGAAAGAAAGCAATTTTCTTGCCATTGTCGTTTACTTTGTGTCCGCTGCCGTTTGCAGCACGAAGCTGCTTATTTTCTTGCAATTTTGATATTTTTTTTTATTATTTTTCCTTTATACTCTATTCATTTTTCCGATCGTCTGCGAATTCGGCGCAAAGTGAGTCGTCATAGAAGCTTTGTTGCGTATATGCGTATGTGTTTGTGCGCTCGTAAACACTTTATTAAATGCACTGGAATAATATTGTAATACTCGTACTTTATTTGTTGTACAACAATGCGGACAATGGCATGATTTGATTAAGGCGCATTGAGTGTACTCGCACTTGGAAATCGATTGGTCAGACAAGCAGGCACTTACTTGAACTCACTTATTTAACGAGTGTATGCGAGATGTCTGTGCGAGATCTTACGCATCGTTGCACGAAGTGATTGCAGCCGAACTGCTATCTAACGCATTTTTATTAAGTTGTTAGCATAATATTCGTTGCCAGAAATGCTGGCATGAAGTGATTGAGGGAAGTATGGAAGGCGTGTGAACATTGGAGAATGATATAGTCAGGTCGGTTTTTTAAGCAGGTTTGACGTTTTTGATCTCATTCTTTTT